GGGGGGGGGGGTTCATTTCCATTCCTTTCTTTTATTCTTTTTTTTCGTGTGTGTGTGTGTGTGTGTGTGTGTGTGTAGTTTGGGCTGCTGGAAAGCTGGGCTGTAGTTTTTAATTGTACGAAGGTAGATCCCTCCTTTTTTTTGGTAATATCGTGGTGTGTGCATTTGTAAACCCAGAAGGAGATGACTAGACTAACCTTATACTTTTGACTGCCTCACACCACTTAGACTGATTTAAGTGGTGTTTGGGCGGGGGTGGGGGTCGTTGTAGTGATATTAACTGTTCATCTGCAGTGGTTATCTCCATCAGCACAAGGAAGACTTCTGATATAGTTATGCTAATGCCTTAAAAATCAAGTGATCATTACTATTTATTATTTATATTGCCGTAGTGCCCAGAGACCTCAAACAAGCCTGTATGAATATGTGAACTAAGGGATCTCTCAGTCTTAAAACAAGCAATTCAGTTAAGAGTAGGCAAGGGGGGGTTATAATATGTTTATATATTTGATATATATTTTTATGTAAGTCAATCTAATCTGGATTTATCAGTAAACATTGCCTTGCCCCAAATGCCTCTTGACATAAGTGTCTCAATGCTGGCTGAACCTTGCAGGTTTGACATTGCTGTTTGGTCTTGAAATGGGATTTGAAGGAGGCAAGGATAGATCAGCATGGAGAGCACTCCATGTATAGGGGGCTGATGGAAGAAAGCATGCAGGCTTTAATAAGAAGAGAGTGAATAAATGGGCAGTTAGGTTAGTTGTTAGTTACAGCTACGGTCTTTTTTGTTTGTAATCTAAGACTGTATTTAGTACATTTTTTCCTTAATAATACCAAGCCCTGGAATTTGACTTTCTACATGTGCTTTTACACATGATCCATAACACAGGATAGAAACAGTCAGTGTAATTCTCATTTCCTTCCAGCCTGAGTATGACATGCACTCCAACAACCTTGCCTTCTCTAGCACGTAGCAATAATTGCACTTGGTTAAATTTATCAAACCTACCAAACAAAACACTTTAGTGCATATGCAGTTCTCCCAATAGGCAAAGGATGACAAAGAACAAACATGCATGATAGATGTTAGATATATCTCCAATGCACTACAGGCAGTCACATACTGCAGTCATGATGGTTGTGTAAAAATCGATATGGAATAAATTAGTCAGTTCTTCATTAGGATAAAAATACACCTAAAGAAAGGCAAGTTCTTTTTTACTGAAGCAGCAGATATCCAGTAAATAGTCACTCTTTCCTTTTGAAGTCACTTATGCATGTTGGTATTTCTTTTAGAAGTTTGTTTCTCCCAGTGAATATCTCTGTTGTATGCACAAAGGAAAAATGGACTGGGGTATAGTGGGTCCTGCTTTGAGCAGGCAGTTGGACTAGATGATTTCCTGAGGTCCTTTCCAACCCTCATTTTCTATGATTCTATGACTCCTTTGGTAGTGGTTAAATGTACTGCTTTAAGGGGTGTATAACCAACACCCCTGCTTTAAGACACCAATTCAAGAAAGAATCCTTATTCAGGAAAGCTTTTCAGTATGTAAGAATGAATGAATGAGTGTAAGGGTTTTTCTGAATCAGCCAAGATTTGTATGTCGCTGGGCCCAATTTGATAGTTATGGAATGGCACAGTGAAGTTCACTGAAATTTTTCTGATTTTACACAGGAAGCTTTGTGTATTCTACTATGTACAAGTCTTGTTGGGCTTTTATTTTTAAAAATGATTTTGATTAAGGGTATATCCACCTGTAATAGGTTCCAGTTTTCTAAACCAGTAAATATCTGAATAGAGCTAACTTACTTAAAAATTATGTGTGCGCGTGTGTATACACGTGTGTGTGTGTGTGCAGAGACAAAAAAATTACAATAATTAACCCATAGATAATTTTGACAACTTTATATAGCTAGCCTTGCATAGTCTAGAGTGTGTTTGATCAGCTAAGCAATGATGGAACTTTAAATCCCAGGTCAAAAGTCTGATATGACTGGAATCTCTTAATTGCAGCATTACACCTTCCACTTTAAATATGTTCTTACTGTTCTGTAGGAAGTTGAACAGTTTTAAGGCTCTTTTCTCCTCTCTGCTGCACCTGAATAAACAATAAAAACTGAGCAGCTCCTCAAATTAACTTTTTATGTTGTGTAATAAAACAGAGATGTAAAACACAACCACTGAAATTCATAACATAGTACTCCAAAATGTCACATTGTAGAAAGTAATTTTATTCCTTTTGATTTCTCTTTGCAAAAATTAAAGTATTTCCCAGCAAAATTAATTTCCAGTTCAGATACCCTTTTTTATCGTAAGCAAAATGTTGTTGTTCTACTGAAATCTTATAGATTTTGTGCCAAGGGCTAAGCTTCTTGGAGACTGAATAGTTATGTGTTGCAACCAAAAAATAATGTCAATAATGAATAACATATAGAGCTGGGGTTGACATGGAACTGTTTGGATGGAGGGAGAATTGGACAAGTCGGTTTGAATCGCCATGTGTAAGATGAAATGTAAATTTGTTAAAAGAATTTAGGTGATTAGGTAACTGGAGTGTGAAGATATAACCCATTAGGGGTGTCATGCCAAATTAGCATTACCAGACTTTTAACGACCTCCCATTTGTATAATCCTTATTTACACTTGCACCTGATGTCTGTAGTAGGACAAGAGGCCAGGCATCTTGCAGTATTGTAGAGCCATTCTAATTGCGCTGTGCTGTTGGAGAAGAGTGTAAAATAGCTGGTTAAGTAGGTTTTATCTGGAAAATGCATGCATTCAGATGTAAAGAATTGAAGACTATGAAAGTAGATGGTGCTACTTTGCTACTGGGGTTTTTTTGTTGTTGTTTTTTTGATTTTCTGCTTTGGAAATAGTCATCACTTCTACTTTTGACCAGGAATGCTGCTAACAAGGTGAAAACTAGGGCTCTATTCATTTAAAAACAAGTCTGTGCTTCTACCTTACATAAAATGGTAATAGCAGCTCTTGGCAGATGTTAATATAATGAATGGCACAGTCAGAATCTGAGGAATTTTATGCTTCATCCCAAAAAATCCTGTTCCTGTCAGGCACAGTGCAGCATCAGGTCTGGGACACATACTATACATTTAATTTAAAGTGCAATACAAACCAGCCACAAAGATGTTCCACATTCTGTTGAACATGTTAAATATGGAACATCTTTGTGGCTGACTTGCCATTTTATCATGCCGTAAATTGGCTGAATGTGTAATGTTGCAATTTATGGAACAATTAATACGTTAATCATGCTTCACACGAGAAAGTTTATGTGCACCGTTCAGTCAGCTTCTTAAAAGCTGAGGAAAGTTTCTATTAGAATCATTTCTTTAAAAAAGCAAAACAATCTTATTGCATTAGCTTTTCACCCTGGCATTAAAAGTTTGGAAAAAGAGTACCATTAAGTAAGTAGTAGTTGGACTGTAACTACAGGCTATTGGTCTACAGTCTCTTCTCTACGGCAAGAGAGAAAAGGTGCTTGTAGCAGACTCAGGCAATCTGCCCGGTGTCAGAGGTCTCTTAGTGGTTGGACCCACCTGCTTACAATTCCTGGTCTCTGCTTTGCGTCCTGTCTCTCACCTGCAATGACTTGATCTTTAATGTTTTTTCTTAATTAGGGAGGTTGTTTGCAGAGACCAGGTTGCCTCTTCCTAGGTGTCTTTGCCTGGTGTGCTATCCTCCAGGTTTCTCTGTCCTGAACTCTCCAGGCTGGGCCTTGCCTTTTAAGGCCCCAGGGGCCTTAGGGGCAATAATTGTGAGGTCCAGGCACCCCCAT